ACATAACGATTGCTGATACTTCCATAGAACATTAATTTTCCACACATAAAGATATAAATAAATGCCATATGAGGTTTGGTTTAGAAGCCTGTCTACCTCCTGAAAAAAGCATCAACACAGCTCCCACTAATATGTTTGCCACATGGATGGCTCGATTAAAAAATGCTAAATGTTGCCTCTTGTTCTTGATAAGAGCTGTCCTTACCAGGAATGTGAACTTTAGCAGATATTCACGTTTTGGTAGGTTTGCAGCTGATACAGTTTCACATTGCTCTGTGAGATTTTCAGAGATTTGGATGTTGCTTTATAAACTAACCTCTTCAAAGTTGCGATTTTCTAAATGCTATTTCTTCTCTATGCTAGATTTTTGCCAAGATCAAATATAGTCAGCCATGACCTGAGCACGTCCATCAAATATACATAGCTTGAAACAGTTTATTGATGAGGTTTTAAATTCCATCAATAATAACGTTTTTTTTTCATTATGCAATACTTTATGTGAGTCTGTCAAATAAAATCACAATTAAATACACTTTTTTTGGACCTCTTTGTATTTTGCAATGAATTTTGTTTCTATCTGAATACTCACCTAGATAATGCATCCTATTGTGATTTTACTTTTGTTTTTAATTGAGCTCTCTGAGGCTCACATGCAAACCTTTTCTGGGCTTACTGTCTCTTTAGCTCTATTTCCACCCACTGAGTTTATTTTAATCTAATTGGAGTCTATTAGAGAATCATTTTCTTTTTCTATGCATGGAAAAACCCCACAGCCAAATAGCTGCAAACATTATGACCTTGACACATATTCCTGTTCTCTAAGTAAAGTTAAGCAGCAGCAAAGGTTTGTTTGAATAGCTGAACGTGTGTGCAGTTATCCGTCTACTGTGCTGCTGTTCTTGTCTTTGTTGGAAATCTACTTTATCCCCCTCATCTTAGCCATGACACTCATACTTTATACTTTGCACCAAGTCTCCAGCAGTACGGCAGTGAAGGTAGACTCAGGAAAACAGTTTTTTTTTAATTATTTCCTACTGTAACCTCTGATTTATTGCTGACAGTGCTTAGACTGAAAGTGCAAAGTAGAGTGTGGTGCTGATAATAACAATAAGCCAGTGTTGGAGAACTTTCTTCATGACTATGAGAAGCGGTAGACCTTTGATAATCTGTTTTATCAAAGTGGCCTCAGAACATTGATAGTGGCGCTGTCATTCATTCAGCAAATTCTTCAAAAGCTATTTACCCTAAAGCACTGGCCTGTTTTCACTTTTTTTACTGGATCTTTGATAAAAGTCTTGCGTTGTAATTTTGCTGCCCCGTTTGTATTTCTGTAACATTAAACCTTTTACTTTATAACTCCCATCTTTAGGGAAATGGGTAAATAATTTGTCTGTTGTCTCTATTGCTCCCATGTCTGCAATGTGAGATGAATGATTCATCTCACACATTATTCCTATTCAACAACGATAGGAGGTCGCTCCTAACCTTTAGAATTATAAATGGAATCAGTCTAGGTCATTGATAGAAAAATAAACCTTAGCTGAGAGTTCGATAGGCATCATTAATCAGTACTTGTGTGTGAATATCTAATCTCGGTCCAAAGCTGAGAAACTGAAAGAACAACATGCCGCTCATTTCCACTGCCACCTTTTCCCTTTACACGAAAATAATAGAAGGTACAGGATACAGTAGCTCTACAGTTAAAAGTTAATAACTTAGTAGCCTTTATAATATTGTTATACACTACCGTTTAAAAGTTGGGGTCACATTTAAATGTCCTTATTTTTGAAGGAAAAGCAAAAGTGCCTCATTTTCAATGAAGATAACTTTAAACTAGTCTTAACTTTAAAGAAATACACTCTATACATTGCTAATGTGGTAAATGACTATTCTAGCTGCAAATGTCTGGTTTTTGGTGCCATATCTACATAGGCCCATTTCCAGCATCTATCACTCCAGTGTTCTAATGGTACAATGTGTTTGCTCATTGGCTCAGAAGGCTAATTGATGATTAGAAAACACTTGTACAATCATGTTCACACATCTGAAAACAGTTTAGCTCATTACAGAAGCTACAAAACTGACCTTCCTTTGAGCAGATTGAGTTTCTGGAGCATTACATTTGTGGGGTCAATTAAATGCTCAAAATGGCCAGAAAAAGAGAGCTTTCGTCTGAAACTCGACAGTCTATTCTTGTTCTTAGAAATGAAGGCCATTCCATGCGAGAAATTGCTAAGAAATTGAAGATTCCCACAACGGTGTGTACTATCCCCTTCAGAGGACAGCACAAACAGGCTCTAACCAGAGTAGAAAAAGAAGTGGGAGGCCGCGTTGCACAACTGAGCAAAAAGATAAGTACATTAGAGTCTCTAGTTTGAGAAACAGACGGCTTACAGGTCCCCAACTGGCATCTTCATTAAATAGTACCCGCAAAAGACCAGTGTCAACATCTACAGTGAAGAGGCGGCTGCGGGATTCTGGGCTTCGGGGCAGGGTGGCAAAGAAAAAGCAATATCTGAGACTGGCCAATAAAAGAAAAAGATTAAGATGGGCAAAAGAACACAGACATTGGACAGAGGAAGACTGGAAAAAAAGTGTTGGGGACGGATGAATCCAAGTTTGAGGTGTTTGGATCACAAAGAAGAACGTTTGTGAGATGTATAACAAATGAAAATATGCTGGAAGAATGCCTGATGCCACTGGTAAGCATGGTGGAGGTAATGTGATGGTCTGGGGTTGCTTTGGTGCTGGAAAGGTAGATTTGTACAGGGTAAAAGGGATTCTGAATAAGGAAGGCTCTCACTCCATTTTGCAATGCCATGCCATATCCAGTGGACAGCGCTTTATTGGAGCCAATTTCATCCTACAACAGGACAATGACCCTGAACACACCTCCAAACTGTGCAAGAACTATTTAGAGCAGAAGCAGACAGCTGGTATTCTATCGTTAATGGAGTGGCCAGCAAAATCACCAGATTTGAACCCCCATGAGCTGTTGTGGGAGCAGCTTGACAGTATTGTACGCAAGAAGTGCCCATCCAACCAATCCAACTTGTGGGAGCTGCTTCTGGAAGCGTGGGGTGCAATTTCTCCAGATTAACTCAACAAATTAACAGCTAGAATGCCAAATGTCTGCAATGCTGTAATTGCTGTAAAAAGAGGATTCTTTGATGAAAGCAAAGTTTGATGTAAAAAAAAAATCTTATTTCAAATACAAATCATTATTTCTAACATTGTCAATATCTTGACTGTATTTTCTATTCATTTAACAACGTATGGTGGTGAATAAGTGTGACTTTTCCGGAAAACACAAAATTGTTTGGGTTACCTCAAACTTTTAAACGGTAGTGTACGTCTTATTTAACTCTTCATGTTTTGTCAGATTACAACAAGAGATTATTTTACAGCCACAGACTACATAAAACAAATAAATAGCATAATTGTGAGGTTAAAAGGGAAATTTGTTCTTTTTATAGTTATGTTAAAAAATCTGAAAACTGCGGCCTGCATGTTTATTTAGCAGCCATAAGCTAAAATATTCAGAACATTTTGCTGCAATTAGGTGCAAGTATTTTGTTCCTTCTACCAGATGTAACCAATCAGAAAAAAACTATTTTCAGTTGACTCTTTGCAATCTAGTAAACAAGAATACAACTATTTAAACATAAATTATTAAGTTCTGCTGCAGATTCTTATTTAGATTTTGAATAAGTTTAATCAACCACATAAGTTAAATCATCATTAAATACATATTAACCTATATTTCATTTTTTATTCAGGATTCAGAAATGCTGTGAATTATGCCTTATTAGGACTGGAAAAAGGATAAAAGTTACCTGACCTTTTAAGAGTGCATTGATAGTGTTTTGAAAGTTTACCAGAAGATTATGAATAGGTCGTTCAAAGCAAGGGTAAAATAAATTAATTATTATCAGTTGATTGATTATAACTGTAATTTGCTTACTGACCAGGGTTTTTAGTCTCTTACATAAAGGTTGGAGTCCTGGATCAGCTGTTTAAATCCAGTTCACCAATTTAGAAATCTAGACTATGGCCAGCAGCAAAGTTATTAATCACCCACCAATTAAATGTGTGTCTGTTTATTTGGATTTACTGAAAGAAGACTGAATCCAGACTGAGTGATAAATCGTTCACTGTGTAAAATAAACACAAGAGAATAAGAGTTAAAAAACAATGGTACCATTATAAGCTCCTAACACAGGATTATTATATCTAATAACTAGGCAGACACTAAACACAACTGAAATAAGCACAAGTCTATAAACAAATAAAAGGGGAAGACGGTTTTAAAAGACCTTTCAAGAGTCTCTGAGGAATGTTCAAGTTTTAAGGCTTAAGCATTGAAAGTGTCCTTTAAGCCAGGCATACGATATTTCCAATCGTACTCAGCTACAGCTCAAACTGTACGACGAATCGGAGAGTTCACAGCTCACAATCAATGTTCTTATACCGTATGGCCCGACACGCAGGGAAAACCAAACAACACTTAAAAAACAGGGATGCATGAAGACTTGAGCAAATGTGCCTCCAGACATGAAGTTGGAAGATAAAGCTTTTTGACAGGATGTGCTCATTGTCAATCCAACAAGGAGTTATTCTTCTAGACTGCACTTGTGCTTTTTGGTCACAGTAATAACCCATGCACTGTCCAAAAGAACACTATGTTCGACTCGATCCCACCACATTTGTTCTGTGGTTCCTTCCCCTTTTCTCTAAAATCTTAAATATGAACATTGATCCTTTTGAGAGGTTTTAAGCAGTGATGGATGTGCATTCATGAAACAGATTCCAATGGATATTCAAACACAATTAGGAGGATTATATGAGGTAAGTTAATAACATTTTATGTTAAATAGTGTAAAGAAATACACTTTCAGTGTTTGTATTTCTCAAAATCTTTGCAACCCTTATGTGAAAAAAACAAATGTTCATTATACCTCACAATGCCATATACATATCAGGAAGCAGACGCTCAAAATAGGTTTAACAAAATTATTTAATACAAAGAGCAGCAGCGAAAAGACAACAAGCAAGAGCCTTTTCTCTTTCAGCTCAGTTCCTTTCTACAAAAAATAAAAATACAAGTTCTTCAAAAATTGGAGAAAAAAAAACACCCTTTTGATGCTTCAATTAAAATTAAAAGTATGATTAATACATTTCACACATCATTTCAGAAAAATTCATTATCTGACTGACTGCTTGGAGACCTGACTTGTCTCAGAGTAGCCCTCCCAGGGTAAGCTGCTTTTTCTGAGCCCAGCTGACTAACTATAAGCCCCCCATTCCCTCTGCTGATGGACCCCAGAGTCTCTGCCTTGTCACTCATAATATCACTGACACTCTCAAAAGAGCCACGGTGGGCCCCTTTGTTCTGAGAGGCTTGACCATAGGAGTTGTTGCTGAAGTCATTACCATGGTAACTGTTGCTTCTGTTAGAGCTGGTCTCCATTCTCTGCCTGCTTGGTTGAGATTGGAAGTTTTTATCAAAGGACTTCTGACTATGAAAACTGTGCTCTGAGCCAAAATCAGGTTGCATTTCAGGGCAAAGATACTGTTGTGGTTGCTCCTCTTCAGCCACTGCTGGATCTGCTGGCTCTAATCCATTATAATTAAAGGTCGATTCCACTGATTGGTCTTTATGCAAGGGTGGAGACCGGCGAGTTTGAGTAAAGGCTGCTCCGACAAGAGGAGACACTGCCTTTTTAATTGCCTGAAATAAGAAAAAAGGCAAAGTAATTTAAGTTTAAAGATAATAGCCACTAAATCTTTTTATGGCAACAAAAGCAGGTGGCATGGGCATTCAGGCTTATTTAGGTGACTTTACTGCCAATTCACAGCTGCTCTGCATGTACAGCGACCAAATGGCCCCTAGAAAAGAGCTTTCTTCTTTGAAATACGTTTCATGTGATAATATAGAAAAACAAAGAAAAGTTCCTTTATATTTGTATTTCTCTAGTAGGTTAAATATTCAATTAACTGATAACGACCTCTAAATTCATTTATAAAATTTTTGTTTAGTTTTGTGAGGATGAGGAAGGGATAATATTAAGTGATTGGATTTTTTTTTTTTTTTTAAGTTTGTACTGCTCCGTCCAGTTTAAAAACAGACAGGACATAATGTAAAAGGTATAGTGGAGGATTTTTGAGAATTTCCAAGTATGGATTAACTGTAGCTATCACTACCATTAACCTTTGTGTTTTTCTCTGCTTTTTATCTTGTTTTCAGGTAAATCTGCTCAATTGTCCTGATTTGTTTTTTGTTTAACCCTGTCTATTTTGTGGACCAAGTAAACAAATGTTCTGTCAATAACTTAGTTTTTCTAACACAGAAAGCTCTGTTTGAGAAGTGCTTCTGTATTTTTTGTTCAGCTGCTGTGTTTTCTCGAACCTTTGCCCAGTAGCAGCACATGAACACCTGCCACTGAATTTGACTGGGTTATATATTAACCAACTCCAGGTTTATATCAGTAAAGTAAAATTTGTATTTCTAGATATTGGTTCATGGATTTATGTGTAAAATTTGCATTCCTCTGTTTTGTAACTGACCTTTGTCATTAACTATTGTGTTATTAATTGTTATGGCAAACTGAATCTTATTAACTTTAAACTATGACCATAATAAAACAATCTGATATGAATATTTTAATGGTCTGATTTCCTGCATTGCTTTCTGTGGCAGCAGTCTTCTGGCGGTAAGATAGATACTCTCAGTATCAGCAGACCTAATTTACATTAACAGCCCAGTTTTGGAGAGGAAAAGCACATATTGGCAGGGATCGTTAAAAAAGGTTAAGTAAATTTAAGTCAGCACAGGTTGCATACTTGAAATGCAATTCAAAAGAATAGAAATGTTGCATTTAATTAAAGTACAACGAAAACAAAACTAAAGTGAAGCTTCTTATAGTGTTCTAAGTTTATAAACAATGTTGCTGATATGAAATATGAAAAGCCTTAATAATATTGTACATATTATTGGAACATTTTTTATGTTCCAGATGGTATCAAATAATCTTTTTTCCTCAATGTTTGGGTGAATGGTTCTGCAGCAATACAAAGCTGTAAGTAACTAAATGTGGAAAAAGCGTAGCACTGAATACTTTCTGGATGCTTGGTATTATTTCAAGATCCTTACCAAAGAAGATTGATCAGGCTTTGCTTCAACATCCTCTACAGTCGTTGAGGTGGTACGTTCCAACTGTGGTCCCACTGTAGAGGAGAGCTGGGGTTTTCCAGAAGGCTGGAAATCTGATGTGTTAATCCCAGCAATTGATGCCAGCTGACCTAGGCTAAACATAAGGAAATAAATTCATTGATGCCACAAATTTCAACAGATGCCTTTATAAATTGCAGAAATGTCTGCAGCAGATATCCGATTTATGGTCTTTGTAAAATCAAGCTTTTCCACAATTAATCCTCTGGTGGAAGAGAACAAATTACTTGCAGTGTTAACCTCCATGCTTGGGCTACATGTAGGCTAAGATTGATTTTAAGGTGCTTTTAAAGATTTTCAAAGCCATTAATGATTAAATTGCCTTTTTTTAACTTTTTTTTTTAACTTTAGTTGTAGCCATATAAAGTATATATTCCTCAAAATAATAAAAATAAATCTGTGTGTTTCGTACTGGGGAATCATTATGTTGATTGTCCTTCCTGCCGACTCAGGAGCAGCGAAGACTACAAATTTTTTAAAGAGTAAACTGAAGACAAATTTAACTCCATCATAATTATTCATATCCAATGTTAAAGAAAAAAGAATGTCAACTGACATAATAAAACTTGAAAAGCACTTGCAGAGCACAGACCTCCACAAACAGCAAATGTTGCACCCTACTGTGACTTACACCTATGGCTAAAACTCACACATGATCTGGATCATTACCAAATTATAATGAATTTTTCCACAGTATGAGGCAGACCTTTGGTAAAAATTTCCTTAACAACCTTTCATAAGTTTATAAATAAAGCACAGTGCGTGTCTGCAGCCGCTGGTGTTTTTTCTTCCTCATTCACACTGCTGTCTTCTTTGATCAGCAGATCGAGACTTTCCTGTGTTTTTGTCTGCAGTATAATACTTCTTTTTTGGATCCGATGCTGAAGCTGTCAAGTCACTGCTGCCACTGTCTGGTTTAGGGGGGAATTGCTTGTTCAGCAAAATAATATTAAAGAATATATTTTTTTTTAATCCTGCATCTGGATTATGGTGTGGATCATCACCAAAATGTAATCAATTGTTCCTTTACAGATAACGAGATACATTACAGATAACAAGTTACCAAAGCTGCAGCTTTTGTAAAAATTTTAATAAAATGTGTTAATAACTTTCAAGTTATTCTGTTCACAAACAACGCACACACTACAACCATATTACCTCCATTCTTACCTCCTTAGTGGAGGTATTAATGTTTGCTTAGTTGTAATTCTCTTTCACTTTTGTTGGTGACCCCTCTTTCAAAGACATAGACAGGAATTAGGTATTACAGGTTAACAAAGAAACCAAACAACCCACATTCCTAAGGGGAGGACCCCTCTCTAGTTATTGATGCCTGCCATAGAAATGCACCTATCATTGTTTTTTGGACTATTATATTTTGTTACCGTATTTTCACGACTATAAGGCGCATTTAAACGTCTTTTTTTTCCCTGAAAATGTGCGATGCGCCCTTTGGTGCGGTGCGCCCTATGTGTGTTGTAACTGCGACTTTTGAGACCACCTCATTGAGGAGATGATGAAAGAGTGGCTGAATGTAAGGAGACCAGGTGTTTTTTTTCCACACATCACCATCGCTGTTAATATGTAACTCCATGCGTGCCCATCTCACAGCTGATGTGAAAAACACGGGGAAACAAATTAAGGCTGTGCTCGCTGTTCAACCGCTCGACATCGGTGTGAACCGGACCCAGCAGGTGCAGCAGAAGCAGCGAGTTTACATGCAAAGTCAATGGTTGACGAGCGTATAGGCGCAGCAAAAGGTCCCGCAGCGCGTTTTGAGCAGCAGGCACAGCGCGTCGGGAGCGTTTAAGCATCTGCCAACGCGCTGCTGCAGCTCGAGATGGAAAAATTGAAGTTTTGCTGCTGGACGCGCCGCATCAACCAATCAGAGAAGCTGATCTGGGAGCTGACAGCGAGACAGACACATCGCTCTGATGACATATTATATTAACGCAAATGAAAAAGGCTGGATGGATGAGAAGATGATGAAAGCGTGGCTGAGGCAAATGTATGTGAGGAGACCAGGTGGTTTTTTCCACGCATCACCATCGCTGCGTGCCCATCTCACAGCCGATGTGAAAAAAAAAGGTGAATCAAATGAACGCTGTGCTCGCCGTTATCCCGGGGGGTCTTACAAAGGAACTTCAACCGCTCGACATCGGTGTGAAGCGGCCGTTCAAAGTAAGGCTCCGAGCGGCGTGGTAGCGATGGATGACAGACGGAGACCACAGTTTCAGGATAAGTGGAAGGCAGCGCCGGGCAAGTTACGCCACCGTTTGCGGATGGATTGTAGATGCTTGGACTAACGTGTCTGCTGGCTCTGTTGTTCAAGCTTTCGCAAAAGCCGGCATTATTTCTGAGGAGCTGCGCTGCACGGAAAGTGACTGACAGCGAAGAATGGGAAACTGGCATGTCTGATTTAGCGCAGCTGTTTAATTCAGAAACAGAGGATGATGACTTTGATGGGTTTGATTAATACTTTGTAATAAATACATGAATAAAGCACAATCATACTCAGTTTTGCTCCCGCTCTATTTTTCTACCTGAAAACTTAATTCAACAGCAGCCTCTGGGCGGGTATCCTCCGCGTATACCGCGGTGGCTGGCAGGTGTTTTTTCATCTAAATAATCTCAATCTTGCAGCTATATTTGCTGTGATCAGTGGGAATAAAGTAGTTTTAATATGTTTTTAAGTGAGAAAAGCCACCTGAAAACTTCATAATTGCAGTCAGTTCATCCAGATTATTATCCTGCCTATACTATTTCTGTCGGAGCCACTCCGACCCCCACATACCAGCGGTGCGCCGACAGTAGAAATCCCTTCAACAGCAGCCTCTAGGCTGGGCAGCCTGTTGGTTCACCGCGGTGGCTGGCAGGTGTTTTTCATCTAAATAATTTAAACTGCAGGCACCAGGATACCGGTAATAAAAGCGAACATATTCCGTCAGCAGGTTTCAGGATTTTAAGTTAATTTAGGAGTGATCACAGCGCTCTGTCATCTGCGATGTGTCTGTCTCATGGCCAGCTCCCAGGTTTGATTAATACTTTGTAATAAATACATGAATAAAGCACAGTCATACTCAGTTTTGCCCCCATACGCAGTAGAGGTATTTAAAGGTAGTAGAGGACATGTACCTGTATATAAAAAACGCGCCCTATAGTCCGGTGCGCCTTATGTCTGTGTTAAATACAGAAATGGGACACATAACTGAGACTGCGCCTTTTAGTACAGTGTGCCTTATGGTCGTGAAAATACGGTACATAATCTGCCTTATTTTTTAAACTTAATTGGATTTTAAAACCTGCACTTCCTGGAATTTCTCTCTTTACCATCAGCGTCTCATCATCATTATTATAACTGTGTCATCACATGGTTCAAACCTACAAATTAGCTCTACGCAGCACACATATGCGATTTTCAAAGCTAAACCTATTTTAGCTAACCTTTTTTTGTTTGTGCTTTACTACTCTGTGTGGATGAAAGGTGTTCTATAAATACGGACAGAATAAACTAAGAGTTTAAAAAACACATTTGGAATGTTTTTTTTATCTGGTATAATTGGAAAAAAGAAAACCCACCCCGCATCCTTCAGAAGGTCCAGGAAGGCATGGAACTTATTAAATGAGTTCTCAATGCTCTCCAGGACTGCCTCGTCTTCAAGAGCGCTTAAAGTACGCAGCGCTGATCCAGAGCCGGTAGCTGCAAGAGCTTCAGACAGTGAACGGTTGGCATCACGAAGTCTGGCATTCTCCAGCTCATACTGGGAAGAAAGGAAAAGATGATTAAATGCTACCAATTGTGTGTTCTTTGGCCAATAAAACTGTCAGATCAATGCATAGAAAATGCTTTTTCAATCAGAGTAAAAAAAAAAAAAAAAAAGATTTGAAGAATTATCAGATTTGATCATTGATTAAAAAAAATACACTAATGAAAGAAAAACAAAAAACCTGAAACTGGTTGAAGTCCTATTCTAAAGATGTAACTACCTCCATAAGCCTTGACTCTGCTTTTAGTCGAGCTCTGCGCTCTTCTGCCAACCTTAGGCGGCACTCCCTCAGCTCCATCTGCAGGGCAAGCATAGAAACATGTTTGACAATAAAACACACAGGTTATAAAATCCCAAAATATAAAACAACAAAGCCTATGATTTATTTTATTATTATTTTGCTTGCAGGTAATCTCGCTGACCTGGATATGATTAAGTTGCTGTCCAGTTATTCTGTCCTTGAGTCCAAGAGACGGTGATGTCTGCCCCACTTCCACCTCCACTTCATCATTTTCATTTGCACTGTCCTCCTCTTCCTCTGAGTTTGATTCCACTGTAACTCTGATTGTTGCTGCACCCTAAAGAAGTACATATGGCAGATGTAATCCATTTCATATCCTGATCTCTATCCCATTTTCCAAATATACTTAGAACATACTACTTCTATAAGCAGAGAAAAATTTACCTGAAAGTGCCGTTCTACAACCGTAATACCAGGAGGAAAACCTCTAAAATCAAAGCATCAAAAACAAAGTAATTAATGTGTTAGAGTGTTCAAAATCTGAAGTGGTTCTGAAACCAGACACCCTGTAAACCAAAAGGAGAAAATGTACTGGTTTCCTCACTTCACCTCACCTCTGGCGGCCAGCTCGTGCAGCAGCACGCCAAGGAATAAAACTCGGACAAGACGAGGGCTTCTTGGTTTGAGCAACACTTGAACTCTGTCCTGTAGGAGATGTTCCTTTATGAGGGGCTGGATAGACAGAAGAACATCAAAAACTGGGATTCCACCAAAAATTAGGAAAGTCACTCAAGAAGAATTTGAACTCACTACACAGAAATTAAATACAAGTATTAAAATGCAAGAAATAAAATAAACAGCATGAAACATCAAAAACAACCCTTTTTAGTGGACAGTCGTACATTTTCCTGGTATATTCTGGTTTCATGTTCCGTCCTACTTCTACAGTTTCTATTTTCAGGTGTTTTATTTTATCATTTGTACTCAATAAAAATTGCTCAATTATGTATTTTAATATCAAGTCTTTTTAACACGGATCAATCCTAAACATGATATCAGATATCTCAATTAGATTTACCTGTATAAATAGGGGCAAAAAAAAAAATACAATTGAAGTAACATTCAGGACATACGGCCTTGCAAGTTTATCCATTAAGCTTATCCGAAAGACAAACCTTACCTAAATATTCAGGCTAATCTATTTAACAAATGACATTTTCTACCAAAACCATCTTGAGAGAATACTCAGAATACTCAGAATACTCAGACTCAGACTGAAAGAAGACTGTGACTAGTAGTTTTAGAGGAGAACATCATGAGCTGGTTTTCAAAATATGCCTTCGGTTTAAAGAATTGTAGAATATAGTCTCAATCAAATCAGACTAAAGTATTTCTCGAGCGGTGTCAGTGTCAGCTGAAACATTCAGATAGCAGAGTCAGAATTTGACATGAGGATGCTACAAAGAGCCACAAAGCTCTCTGCATCACAGCTGCCTCCAGTCACCAAATATTAATCCAACTGAGCAACTTTGGTATGTGAGGGACAAGAGGTTCACATAAAGGATGTGCATCCTATAACTACTGAGGCAGCAATGTCATGCTACTATTTCAATATACATGTTCCTCAACCCCTGATCGATCTATGATACAAAGAAATAATGCGTTAATTTTTGAAGTAAACAAATTTAACTTTACAGACAAAATGTCAAATACTTTCACAGCTGCGGGCAACTTAAGAAAGTGGCCTTTTTTGTCCTACTGGACAAAAATACAGATAAAGTAGTAATCCCATCATGGGTAAAGCATTATATTTTTTTATGTTTCATTGATTGTTTTTGCACATGTCTGCCCCGCCTGCTTTATATGTTCTGTGTCATCCCCACCAACTCTCAATGAGCGCTAAACTCCACAACATCATCCAACACGATTTTCTGTCAGATCGGACACAAAGTTAGATTCCGTGTGTTTTGGCATTTAAAGGAAAAGTTTGTTCAGCAAGGAATAATCAATGAATCATTACCTATACCTAAAACTAATATGTTTGCAGTGATTTAATTAATTTAGTGTTAATCATTAAAAATTTTATAACAATGGCTATGTTCGAAAACCTAGGACGCATCCCTTAGAAGACCGGATTCGAAGGCCGATTACGTCATAGCGCGGCGCCGAGGTCCGGTCGGATTCCAAGACTCCTCGTTATGCGGCCTTAAAATGCGTCCTTCTTTTTGCCCGATTTGAAGGACGGGTCCAATGTATCCTCGGTATTCTTGGATATCCCAGGATTCATTGCGTGACCAAGCAAGCTCTGATCAGAGTAAAGGTTACTTGGCGCCGAACAGTGGTGAAAATTGGAAGTTCAGTTTAATCTAATCCAGTCTGTGAATAGTTCCATCTGAGATGAATGAAAAATAGTTGTTTTAATGGTTATTGAGTCAGATATGTGGCGGTAATGTTTAATTTATCTAAAGGTTTTAATCTGTTACTGTGTAAATGGGTTTGGCTGGAATTAAAGGACAGATTCTAATATATCTGCAGGGTGGGGACTATAAATCTGATAGGATTTTTATCTTTTTATTGCTGTTTTGCACAATATGCTTAACTACGTATTTTTTGTTGTTGAATATTAGAGATTTTGCAGATATATTTTTTTATAAATACATTGTTTAGATTTACTTATATCTTTCTACCCCTTTTATAGAATAGAATAGAAAATCCCTTTATTGTCCCACAATGGGCAAATTTACAGCAGCAGAAAGATTATTGAAAATGGTCACACAAATGAGGACCTTAGAAAAATGTATAAGAATAACATAATAGGGAAGAGTTACAATATAAACAATACAATACTGTAAAGTGTTTTAACAATATAAAACTGGGGAATAAATAACCAATATGCAGCTATGGACATTTTTACAATAATGGATATTCGAAAATAGCAGCAACATCAGAGATGTGCAAAATGACAGCAGCAGGTTATTTAACTGACTAAGGTTTCTATCATTACATTTGATTTTATTTGTTCCTGTTCCCGGTGGTTGGAACATTTATTCCATTCTGGATTCTTGTGAGTGTAGTCTTTGTTCATTTCACAATAAAAAATAAATAAACAGTTTTGAAAACTTCTGTATTCATTCTTTTCCTGCTTTGTGTGTCAACGTTTACGGTTGCTAAGCAACAGAGCATACGGCGGTAAAACCCGCTGAAGGGTAGACCTGGTCGAATTCACAGCCTAAACTCTTCCGGTCTCCTTATTTTCAAGGACTTCGAAGGATCCAGTCTAGGTAGACCGCGTCCTTGGAGGACACGTCCTAGGTTTTCGAACAGAGCCGATAATTTTTGTCGTGATCTCTGAGTCTGACCGGCCATTTTTGCCCAAATACAGTAACACCTCACTACTGACATCTTCCGGCAGTGACATCATGGTGCGATAAGCCTAGCGCCGTTCTCCCCGATTTACAAGCAAAATCAATGGGAACTACTAGACACCTCTGCAATCCACAACAATTACTTAAGATTTCGAGAGCTATAGTTAAACTGACAATGCCCACATGCATGGCAGTTGGATGTTGTAATACGTTGGGTAAAAGTGAAAAAAAAAATTGTTATTTCACCTTTCCAATTCATGATCCTCAACGAAAGGGTTCATCGTTGGATTGCCAACTTGAAGAGGGAGGATTTGCAATCAAACTTTTGGCCGAATAAAAAAACACGTCTTATGTAGCCAACATTTCGAAGAAGAATGTTTGCAAGATGACTTGGATAATAGCGCTTTGAGTGAAACACCAGATACAGCTCTGGGACTTGATCAACAGCCGATACCACACCGTGACGTCAAACCAGTAGGGGGGCAGTAGTGTTCTTTGACAAACATGGATATCTCCGGTAAAGCTCATTCAAATTAAATGGCTCTTAATTAAAAACATCTATCATTTATTGAACCGTATGTATTAATTTAATATTTAAAGTACTTTCAGAAGTTTGAGTTCTGAATATGACCGGACTTTTCCTTTATTGTACCTGAGGAGCATCTCAGTGTCTGCCCCTATAAACTAAGTTGTTTCTTTTAGACCCCTTTTAAGAAGCATTATAGACCTAATAAATGAAAGAAATTCATTCCTTAATTAAACTTTATTTTTTTTTTACTATTGGCAGAATGAAAGAAAATACAGACATACCTTTCCTATACAATGATCTTCGTCTCACAGTAATAGGTATGGCTCCTCTTTTTGGCCCATTTGGCCTGTGTAACTCTGTGGTTGTTGGTTTTATCCAGCAGTACTACAGATGAAAACAAATGAAGTATAGAAACAAAAAAAAAATATTAAAAACAAGAACCTAGAATAGCAACTGAAAGTCTTTTAAATGCTAATATCACTATTAAAGTGTTACCTCAGGTGACTTTCCTTCAGCATTCATAAGCACTTTCTCAATCACTGTTTTAATTAAAACTTTGTCTGTTAAGAAAGAAAAAAGTTAAGAGCTTCTTCAGCTGTTTTCTAAATCTGAACAACAATGCTGCTTCTGGAGGCCAAAGAAGTGACAGCACACAATGTAAAGGTGTTGATGCGAAGACGGTTTATGGAAGCATATGTTTGCAAATATAGCTGCATCTCTTTAGGTGTGCGCCTGTAGCAGTATTTACAGTATGGCCCATTACCGCGTGTTCAGGATGATCTGCCAGACTAGTTTTCAGTACAAACTATTTTTTTTAATGGGCCATGGAGTTCAGTTGTGGTCTTGTTTGATCAAAGCGCCATCATGTACATGTCTGTTAAAGCTTTCAAAGCTTGTGGGAAAATCGAGACTACGTACGGTATTCTTTAAACATGGCTTCTTTTTTTTCTTGCCTCTCCTCTATATAGACTCAGTTTGTGGAGTGAATGAATGTTAGTTGTTCTGTCTATTGATTCTCCAAGCTAAGCTCTTTAACTGTATTTCTGTAGCTCCTCCAGAGCTACTGTGGGCCTCTCTGCTTACCGGGTGAGGTAAGCAGAAGATGAGATAAGCTTTACTGATCTCACAGTGGAGAAATTATGGGATAAAAATGCATCCCATAATTTTGAGAACTTTTTATTACTTTCTTTGTTCCCTTGCATGTCATAATGATGAACTAAATTCTATAGCATACATTCATGGAAGTGATGATGGATACGAATACATTTACAGGACTGAATCAACAACCGTCTTACCAACTAAAGGGTTACTGCGAATATCCAGCACACACAGAGAGGAATTTGTTTTCAACGCTTCCAACAAGCGACAAGCTCCTTCATTGGACAAACCGCATCTCTGTAGATCCATAGCTGTTCAACAAGGCAAAAGAAAACCGAAACCCATTTAGCAAAATTTAACAACTAAAGCAACAGGGACAAAAGTTCATTTAAAGTCCACATTTCCCTACAAACCTTTAACCCAGAGGTCCTCAGACAATTCATGCGCAAGAGCAGCAGCCCCCCGATCCCCGATCAAAGTGTTACAGTTTAAAGTGACACGACGGAGACCGCTCATTCCTTCAAACTGTGGCAGTCGATACCTCAGGGACTCTGCCCATGCAGTACCGTGTCTCTGCATTGCCTGGTGCTAAAACAAATACAAAGTTTGTTGCTTTTCTTCTGGAAAAAGAAACTAAAACATAATATTTCACAAAATTTTATATAAAATGATTTGATAATTTATTATATCTTATGCCAGGGAGTAGCTAGAGGATGAAATTATCCACCTTGATGATGTTAGCCATATGCTCTGCTCCTTTCCAGGTTAGACCGCACCCTGTGAAATCTACAGACCTGATGCTAGTAGAATATTTCACACTTTGGCAAATGACTGCAACGAGATACAAAGAAAACATACTGATAAACAAAACAAACTGGAGATGATTTTCTTAGTACTCTAGATAAATCCCAAAAGGGATAGACATACCTTCTAGACCCTCGTCAGAGATGGGACAGTAAGCCAGAGAGATGTTTTCCAAGGAATTGCTGTTTGCCAAACCCTGGAAACACATACAAGTAACACTTCATTAATTTACTTTATTACATAAGCTGGGAATTCTGATTCTGAGAAATGGACTTATTGCCTCTGACTAATCCACATAAATGAAAAAAGTCTGTCGCAGGTAAGAGTTTTAACCCCTAAGGAAGGATTTATAAGATAATCACATATTCACGAATCAGAGCAAATGTGCAAACTATTATCTATTTTACCATATTGTCAATTAGGGTAGTCAAAATGTGTGTTATTTGGTTGAGACATGAATAAACAAAGTATTGGTTTTCTTAGTATTAGTATAAGTGGCGGAACCCATTTTGTACCGTGACCACCTCTGTATAGTTGGAGAGGAGAGGTAGTGTGGTGGGCGGTTTATATCGCTGCAGTCAGACCATTAGATGTTGCTGAATATTACACATTGTAGCTTTAATGCATCTTATTTATTGTAGCAAAAAAACAAAAATGAAAACACCCAAAAAAAACAAAACACCCTGCCAGTCAAGGGAAACCTATCAAATTTTTTCCCTTGACAATGACGGGAGAAAAGAAGTGTGAAGCTGATACAAACTAAATTATCTCATTGTAATAATCACAATACAAGAGTAATAAAAAAAACAATTCAATTATTAGTACAATGTGTTTAGGCTGTGCTTACCTTTGTTAAAGTCATAAGATCCCTTTCTCTCAATGGAAGTCCATTCAGATGAAGAGTTTTGAGATTGGGGGAAACACTTAGACACTCTCTGAGTGCCCTACACAGCTTAAAAGTCATGTCCCTGGAGCGAAAGGCAGGAATCTTCCTCCTAAAGGTAGACTTATAGTACCTTTTATCTGAAATAATTAGTGAAGTAAGTGAATTAAAGTAAAGTTAAATTATGTTAAAGCCTGCAAGGAGGCACAGTTTATGTTTCTTTTTCATTTCTTACCTGAATCTGCAAAAGCTAATCCTCCCTGATGTGTGCTGCTTATTGCAATATGGTGCAGGTGCTTGTTGATGGATATAGAGTGGAGAATAGGTGCCCAGTCCGTCGATTTGACTCTGTCTCCATTAAAATCAAGCATTCCTTTGTCTAAATGCATCTTAACAGCAGGGAGAGGGACTGAATCCTGCCTTGCACAGGAAAGCTCATAATAGGCCAAGAAGTCATGAGCACCCTGCCGTCGAAGCTGAGCATTATCTCTTACTATCTTTAACCTAGAAAACAAATTGAAGGTTTAGAAAAAGAGATGGACTTCTATATCATTTACTGACAGAGATAGAGATTAGTGTGGCTTAGCAAAGTAGAAACATAATTATAATAATAATAAACTTTATTGATCTCACATTGGAGTAATTTACCTCTGCATTTAACCCATCCAGGTAGAGGGGGTGTATAAAAAAACCTCTTTGTTGCTTTGCAATTCATTTCATCTTTCTATATCAAAAACAAAGTTATTCTATCCGTTTTGATCATATGATTTGTCAGGTTGGTGAATTGCAGCAGTTATATCAATACGAGGTTTGAATGGCATTAAAATCGACCCTTATTTTAAAATCTGAGCTCGGCAAATAAACTACAACACATAAGAGCTATAATTAAATGGTGGGTATTTGCAAACTGCTATCATTATCATCAATGAATGACCTAAAAACCAAATGCTGCGTTTGTTAAAAAACAAAAGAAGAATTAGAGGGCCACATTTTAACTCACAAAAGATAACGAGAAAGCCTAATTTGAAATTAATGGACAACGTCGGCTTTTTCCTTTAAAAAAAAAAGAAAATTTTACTCAGGTTCACAACTACTTCAAAGTGGATAAAAAAGCTTGCAGTCTGCTATTAGCGAAACTCGGTTCCTAGCAACAGTCTTTACAGCTGACAAGTCCTTAAAACTCCAGAACCTCACGCACATTTAAGACATAAGTATAGAGATAAACGATAAAATATACCTTCCATGTATGTCTTCCATTTATGCCGGTAGACGATAACCAAAATATTTTATTCTAATGTGTGCATCTGGATGGTTTTGCTGCCCCTGCAGTGTGTTTACCGCGGTTGTTATCGAGCTTGAATGCGGCGCTGCTGCTTTGTTGTGAAAATATTTCTTCTTCTCCTTTATGACGCATGTCGTCAATCAGGGAGGTGCTGCCACCTATTGACGCAGGTGAATTAAACAGCCGCTTTGTTAGGCGCTGAGTTTTGACATCTCCAGTTTTTGACAAAAACGAAACAATTGCTTTATTATACAATAAATAAATGACAAATTACTTATTGTTTATTTTTGGAACACAACACAATAGCTTTATTATTTTCTGCATCTAAAAACCTGATTTAATAGCTGCAACATAACTGCATTTTGATAAAAGCCTTAATTCAACACTTAAAAATGTCCTGTAACTGTGGTGAAGAAATACAGCAAGACAAGGAGGTTAGGGCTTCGACAGTTCACATGGCTGCTCTTGTTTCCCAGCTCTCTCTTGTTTTTCCTTCATTCTCTCCCCAGCTTCCTGTCTTCTTTTTTGCTTCATTAAAGGGTCGAAAATAAGTAGCTGTGGATTCAACTCTGTTTTTCAAAATATTCCCTCTCTAATAGCACACTGGAGTCTCTGTGAGCTTATTTGGTTATTGTGGTTGTCATATGATGGAGTAATGTCTGTGGCTGGGTCAAGGGTGTAGGTTTGATAGGGACACTATTGGTCTGATGTCATTGGTCCTATGCAAAAATATGCATTTTCGTTTTTTTATGCTTGACGTGAAAATCAGTGTGTATTTTGTTTAAAAAGAAAAGCAACATTTCTTGCTACATTTATACAAATTTTATAAGTGCTACACACACTAGATGCTGTTTGTCAATGTTTGAAGCATCATTGGCTCTGATGAATTTGAGATTGGACTTTTTTCCATTTTAAAAAGGTTTGCGTTTGAAATTAACAGCGACTAAGACAGAAAGAAAATCTGTGCCTATTTTACAAAATATAGTCTAAATATTTTATATGTGGATTTATCCTATTATTTCTTTTGAAGATATACAATTGTGCAGAGGTAAACGGAGGTAAAACCCACTCTTATCTTTTAAATATTATCTCTGTATTACGAAACAAAGCAAAATAATAGATTCAAGGGACACCAAATAAATGTATTGTATTTACATGAGCACTGGAATTGACACTGAATATTTAGAATGTTAATTTCACTCTACAAGTCATCTAGGCTGTAGTTAGTTACTCTATTTAACCAATGTATTTTATTTTGGGCTGAAACAATTCATTGGAATACTCGATTATTGAAATATCAACAAATTTAGTAATCGATTAATCGTTAACTGAAGTATAGAGACTCTAAAACATGTCTTTAGCTCACAGAGTGACCCACTTACAGCAGGAATTATACCAAAATTGTAAAAAAAAAAAAAAAAAAATATATATATATATATATATATATATATATATATATATATATATATATATATATATATATATATATATATATATATATATATATATATATATATATATATATATATATATATATATATATAAGCATTTTGCATTTTAGATCGAAAATGTTTTCGTCTGTCAATATTCTCCATCCAGAACGCTGTATTGTAAATTATAAACATGTTATTCACATCTAATTGTTATATGGACAAGTAGGTCGCTCCAAAATGTTGGTAGGGACATTTCCCTATGGTCCCTATGCAAACCTATGCCCATGGGCTGGGTATAGGCAGTAGTGGAGGTCTTATCTTACAGTAGATGTGTTGCTATCAATGCTTTTTTTAGGCCCAATTTGAAGTATCACATTAGAAGAGTTTTATAGAAACAAATTTAAAATTATAGAAATTTTAAGCAAACTTTGAAATGTCAGGAAAAAAAAAAGAAAATGCCAATTAAATGGTTCTCTCCACCATTTGAAACAAATTAATCAGAGGATGATATACATTTGAAATGAAGGTATCAAACTAACATGGACCAAAGATACATAATGGTTTTAATTAGGTTTTAATGAATGTATTGCAATCATGCAAGATATATTTACTGAGAGAGATATTGGAATACAACCCGCTAGCGGAAACAGCTGATCTGTCTTGTGAGGTAAATCGTTATTACGTCAGAACTTTTTCATTTTCAAAAAGTCGAAAACAACATCAAGCAAGCAAAAAACATTTTCTTTTTTTTAAGTCATCATTGTCTGTTTCCTGATTTAACCAAACTTGGTGATATTACTATTTGAGTCAAATACATTGGCTCCAATTTAAGATCAAGTCTATGAACGTTTAAGTCTCTTAGCTTAATTATCTTGAAATTTTGTCTGACTTGGCGATTTATTTTCTAAGTTAGTAAACCAGCTGGCTCTTTTTTTTTTTTACCCAAGGTAATACATGACAGGTCTGATCAATAAAGCTAAAGCTTGAATTAGGCTCTTGGATTTCCATCTGTCTTTTTTCCCCATCCATTATTTTTTCTACCAATGTAGTTTCGCAATTGATGGTTTCAGGTACATTGTTAGAACCAGTTATATTGGTTTTAGTACCAGTTCATGTACCAGTTGTTAAGTCAGGGATTGCAGGATTATTCAGGCATAACAAGATTAGCCTCATTTCTGGATCAATAGGACACCAAGAACTTTTATTCTGTTTAATTTTTAGCCCAAATCCCCACGGACTAATGGCATCAAAAGATTATCAATTAATATATTAGAGTGTTTGTAGAAGGTTTACTGTGCAGTATAAGACAAACAAAATACCTAACAGTTCAATTAGTCAATAGTCTTTTTTGATAGCTGCCTGGTTTAGTCACCTGGCTGTGTCCTAGAGATGAATGTGTTAAAATGGGACTTAATTCCACTATGAAAGCAAAGACCTTTTAAAAAATGTAGGCTTGAGCCCAATGGTCTTTAACTACAGTGAAATTTACCTGAAATATTTTGGAAGGCCATGTCAGAAATTCAAGCAAATTCACCCACACTTTTTAAGATTCTTCAGCTGCAACATATTTATTGTTAAATATAACACAATACCTAGATAGTTCCAACAGATGGTCATATATATATATACAGTGGGGAGAACAAGTATTAGATACACTGTTGATTTTTCAGGTTTTCCCACTTGCAAAGCTTGTAGAAGACTGTAATTTTTATCATAGGTACTCTTCAACTGTGAGTGATGGAATCTAAAACAAAAATCCAGAAAAATACAATGTATTATTTCTAAATAATTAATTTCCATTTTATTGTGTGAAATAAGTATTTGATCATCTACCAACCAGTAAGAGTTTTGGCTCTCACAGACATGTTAGTTCTTCTTTAAGAAGCTCTCCTGTTCTCCACTCATTACCTGTATTAACTGCAACTGTTTGAACTCGTTACCTGTATAAAAGACACCTGCCTACACACTCAATCAATCACACTCCAGCATCTCCACAATGCCCAAGACCAGGGAGCTGTATAAGGACATCAGGGATAAAATTGTAGACCTGCACAAGGCTGGAATGGGCTACAGGACAATAGGCAAGCAGGTTGGTGAGAAGGCAACAACAGTTGGTGCAATTATTAGAAAATGGAAGAAATACAAAATAACGGAAAATCTCCCTCGGTCTGGGGCGCCATGCAAGATCTCACCTTGCAGGACCTGATCAATGACCTGAATAGAGCTGGGACCACAGTCTCAAAGAAAACAATCAGTAACACGCCGTCAAGGATTAAAATCCTGCAGTGCACGCAAGGTGCCCTTCCTCAAGCCAACGCATTTCAAAGCCCGTCTGATGATTGCAAATGACCATCTGAATGATCCAGAGGAGGAAAGGGAGAAGGTCATGTGGTCTGATGAGACAAAAATAGAACTTTTTGGATTAAACTCCACTCGTCATGTTTGGAGGAAGAAGAATGATGAATACAACCCCAAGAACACCATCCCAACCGTGAAGCATGGCGGTAGAAACATCATTCTTTGGGGATGCTTTTCTGCAAAGGGGACAGGACGACTGCACCATATTGTGGGAAGGATGGATGGGGCCATGTATCGTGAGATTTTGGCCAACAACCTCCTTCCCTCAGTAAGAGCACTTAAGATGGGTCGTGGCTGGGTCTTCCAGCATGAAAACGACCAAAAACACACAGCCAGGGCAACTAAAGAGTGGCTCTGTAGGAAACATCTTAAGGTCCTGGAGTGGCCTAGCCAGTCTCCAGACCTAATTCCAATAGAAAATCTTTGGAGGGAGCTTAAAGTCCGTGAGGCCCAGCGAAAGCCCCGAAACCTGAAGGCTCTGGAGGAGATCTGTATGGAGGAGTGGGCCAAAATCCCTGCTACAGTGTGTGCAAACCTGGTCAAGAACTACAGGGAATGTCTGATCTCTGTAATTGCAAACAAAGGTCTCTGTACCAAATATTAAGTTTCATTGTTCTTGTGTATCAAATACTTATTTCACAAATAAAAATGGAAAACAATTATCTAAAAATCATACATTGTATTTTTCTGGATTTTTGTTTTAGATTCCATCACTCACAGTTAAAGAGTACCTATGATAAAAATTACAGTCTTCTACAAGCTTTGCAAGTGGGAAAACCTGAAAAATCAACAGTGTATCAAATACTTGTTCTCCCCACTGTGTGTGTATATATGTATATATATATATATATATATATATATATAGATGTGTATATATATGTGTATATGTATATACAATATATATATATATATATATATATATATATGTATATATATATGTATATACAGTGTATATATATATATATATATATGTATATGTATATATACTTTTATTTGTTGATTAACCTGATTGAGTTTAACTTTTGTAGATATCACCTTAGCTTAACTAAATTAAAACTCCATGTTCAGGTTTATATGTGGATGGAAATGACTAAAGAACAATCTCCACACGTTAGGCAGCAAGTTTAAACTCTTTTACCAGTCAGCCTTCTAAATTATTAATGACAAATAAATCTTAATATCAATGATGATCTCATAGAACAGTTGTGACAATGCTTGAAAATGTAGATGTAGGCAAGGCAGCCTATAACCTGTAGATAACCAATACATTGATAAAGCCAGTTGGAAAATGGGAAAAGAAAAAACAACCTAAGCATATTAAAATAAAATGTATACTATATTCCATGTAGAATACTTTTAGTCATTATTAAATTAGGATAATTCTGGTGTTTTAAAAAGTGAAATCAACATCCATTCAGTCCCTTCAATCCTTCATGGTGACGTCACCCTTGGAAAAGCAGGTTTTTGTGAGCTGATTGGACAATCACCCAGCCAATCACCCTGCTGGTCTGCTGTTTTCCAGTAATCCCAGCCCACTCTGGAGACGCTGGGAAGAGGCACCAACTGGAACAGACCAAAAGGCGAGGGCAAAAACCTACACAGACTGTAAAAACGACTGGAAATACTGGACATACATTTCAAAGAGCGTCGAAAGAATTACTTTCGACCCTAAGAGGTAATTATGATGCAATTTATTTGTATTTTTCCTTCAAATTTGTCGTGACAGATGAGCTGAAGTGAGTTTGTGGATCGTGGTGTGGCCCCGCTGCCCTCGCTAGCAGCAGCAGAGCAGCAGTGTTTTTCCAAACATGCAGTTTTAGTGGCCTTCAGGGTGGATTAGCTGTCCAGTTGGACTCAATGAAGCTCACACTGGGCATTTGCTCCACCTGGGAATTTAAAAATAGACTGTTATAATGGCAAACTATCTACATTCAGAAACGTGAGCTCGGTGTTTGTTTGTTTTCTGATATGTCACGCTTTTCTGCCGCTAATGTTAGTGAAGAAAATTGTGTAAAATGTTACACTATGTGTCAGAAGCATAGTTGTCATTTCTAAAACCTACATCGACATGCACATAACCTAGTTGCTGTTGATTGATGTATATACTTATAATAAACAACTACAAAAAAATAAATAAAATATATATATATTTTTTATTTTTACATAAAAATTACAATATAATAATAATAAATATATATTTCTTTATTGTAAAAAAATTTCTCTCTCTCTCTCTCTCTCTCTCTCTATATATATATATATATATATATATATATATATATAGAGTTGTGAAGGGAGAAAGAATGTTGCAAGTTATAAAATATAATGATGATAGTAATAAAGCATTTAAAATCCTAATTTATAATGTGCTGAAAATATTTTGGGTTTCTTTTCTTTGAAAGCTATTAAATTAATAGAAACATTTAATCACATATAATTTACTTTTAGACATCCTCCTTGAAAGAGTCTAAATAAATAAAGATTTAGGTAGAAAGGGCAATCATTTATAGATTTGGAATTTTGTTTTTTATCACAATTCAAATCCAAACCAATAAAACAAAACAAAACAAATCCTCCAAATTATTCATCTTTTCCCCCCTTTTTAAAGTGTAAATCCAAAGAAAAGATTATCGTGAACTAATAGGTGAACTAATTATCAGAGGATGCTTTTACATGGTAAAGTATATTTAAAGTAATCTGTTTTCTGTATCAGTGAGGTATTATAAAAAAAATGTAAAAAAAAATATGGAGAGGTTAAAAATGAATTTAAAGGACACTATATGACATACTGCCATGCCTGCAGTTTATTCAGGCTGGGAGAGAGCGGGACTTTTAGGAGATAACAGATAGGCTAAAGGGAGTACAATGGAGTTGGTCTGTTTGATCGTTTTAAGCCCTTGGTATTGAAATGTGAGCATTGAGACTGCTTGTTATTTTTGCTAAATGTGCTTATGGATACTAAGAACTCTTTAGAATTGCAGCATTGCAATAACTTAAATTGAACAGAAAAGTGTGCTATTAACTTTTTAATTATTGTATGATTTAATCTTAATAATTATTAGCAACCCAGAATGAGAAAACTGCTAAATGTTTTAACATATGTCCTATAGTCTAAATCTTAAAGAGAACTTAGAATCAACCAAGGGCTTTACAAAAACTGGTAAAGGTTTTGCTGCAAAAATGCATTTACATCCTAATCTGTAATTGAAAGTTCAATGTAAAATGTTTTTGAATTGGTGAAAACAAAAATGTAAGAGAAATGACCCTCCATTAGAATAATTGACTTTAACCTCTAGGGCTTGGCCTAGATATTCTATTTTCATACTATTTCTGTTTCATTATGAAAAGTTACAGTCTGTTCAAGTATTTTTTTCTATCAGCAGCTTTATTAAAAGCCTTTTTTTGGCGGGGGGTTGTAAGACATTTATTACATAACATTATTACATCCTTTAAATTATATTTTGTTTGTTTCAGACCTTAAATTGGGTAAAGGAAAACAATGAGTCAGTCGAATTAGAGATTAATCCTTTTTCCACATGTTCATTGAAGAGGCAAGGTTTAGCTTTTCCCCTATACCTGCTCCTGTTCTAGTATGAGTTGGCATATAAATTCTCAGTGTTAGTCACTGTACCAGTCTGGATAAAAATAAATCCCTTACTTGTACAGTGTTACACAGTCTGCCTTACTAATTGTATTTTTTGCCAACAGTCAGCTTAGAAGGTTTGTGTTTCCTAATTAAAAGAAAAAAAAATTCTATTTTTTTTATCTTTGGAAACTTTCCTAATTTCCTTTCGCTACCATAGAAGTGCATTCATAACTGATAAATGGGAATTGGGGGACCAGGAAGGAAGGAAATGCTGTTTGGTTCAGCTCCAAGAGTTACACACTGAGGACTGAATGTCCTTTTTCCACTTAGGTCAGGGCACCGACAAATTCACATGGACATTCTTGTTTCCCAGCTCTCTCTTGTTTCTCCCTCATTCTCTCCCCAGCTTCCTGTCTTCTTTTCGCTTCATTTAAAGGTCGAAAATAAGTAGGAGTGGATTCAACTGTGTTTCGAAATATTCTCTCTCTCATAGTACACTGGAGTCTGTGTGTGCTTACTTGGTTTTTGTGGTTGTCATTTGATGGAGTAATGACAGACAGTGCAGCTGGGTGTAGGCTGTAGTGGAGGTCTTATCTCACAGTAGATGTGTTGCCATCGTTGCTTTTCTTTATGCTCATTTAGAAGTGTCGCATTAGAAGAGCTTATAGAAACAGAAAAATTAAAATGAACTCACTAATAGCAGCATCTGCAGCTTGGGAAATTTTTAACTTTTGAGCGAAGTTTCTAGGGGAAAAACAGAACATACAATTTGTCATTTTTTGGTAAAGGCCGTACAAATGTACGGCTGTATGCTTTGCTAGCTAAAAACCTGATGGAGAAACATCTAATTGGCATTTTCTCTTTTTTTTTTTTTTTTTTTTTTTTTGCTGACATTTAAAAGTTTATGTAAAATTCTTATGACATTTGGATGAAAACACGGCTAGTCTGTCACATGGTTTATAATCCAGCATCCTGGTTGAAGAAGTTTTCAATATATATCCATGTTGATATATACCTCTTATGTCTGTGCTGCCCAACACTAATTATTAAAAACATTGACAGCTGTAGGGTGGAAGCTATAGGAGTGCCAACCATCATATCCCTCAGAGTATAAAATAGCTAAAACTAAAAGAAGTTTTATGTCCTTTCTGTCTTTTGAAATATTATTTGCCTTTTTTGGATTCCCTAAAATTTATGTTTACGTCACAGACAGATTACTAGTGCTTTATATTAACAAATAGTTTATTGAGTCTTTTTTTATTTTTTAGATAAAAGCTTTTTAAATACAGTTTTACAGTAGTTCACAGGCTAGTTGCAGCTTGTCAGGCAATACGATTTGTCATATGAACACATAATTTTTTTTATCCCCCTTTGAATTCTTTGTGAAATGAAAATGGGATTATGACAAATCAATTGATAAATGAAAAGCAGGAGAAGCAGAGCTCACCGTGAGGAATCAAAGTATGTACCCTCATTGCAAATATTTACCTTTGGATAAATTTAAGACTGTATATTTGCTGATTCTCGTAGTCCATGGAGTTGCGGGAAGTGTATTTTCACATTTTGAAAGTTTCAGCCAGTAATGTCAGGGTACCAACGTTTGCACTAAATTATTACCCACCACCACACATCCCATTGCTGGTCCATCCTTCACATTGCTTTTAGTTAATTCCTCACTTTAAAACTGATTCACAAAGAAGTTTACTGTTTGGTTTTCCTTTAAGAAGTCTGACCTTCCTAAATAGGAACAATTTAGGCAGTTTGAGATTTTTTTTTTTAAGTAACAGCATTATATGTGTTGTTTTAGTATCCTGCTGTCACATTGGTTACTGCTGCAGCGACAACAACAACCATTGCCAAGTAGGGGAGTATTGATTTGTGTGTAGCTATCAGTTTCTTCATGAGATTTCCCAGAACCGTCGGCTGTTTTTGTGACAATTTCCCATCAAAACACTGTTTTTCTCTCTCCCCCCCTTTCCAGGATATTTCTCAGGTTGGTTTGAAAGTAACAAAGTAAACCTTTTTTGAAATGTGTTGCGGATGTACTTGGAAACAGGGTCTCCTTTGTGTTAAGAGCTGAGAGGTGTTATTTTGGTTTTGGTACAAAGGGCTTGGAAAGGCAGTCTTTTTATGCTGAGACTTGCTTCTGAATTTCAGCAGAACTAGATGTAGAAATGAAGAAAACGTTTTCTGTTGCCCTACATGCTAAAATGAAGAAATCAAATTAACTTTATCTGGTTAGCTGTACAGCTGCACAAATTCCAACTACAATGAGACTCTTTAACATCTGCTGCATGTTTTAGATGGTTTTTATTAAACCCCTGGTTGGATATTCATAAATTTTAAATGTTTGGTTGAACCAGCCTTAAAATACAGCTCTATTTGCCAACATGTGACACAGACGTGATTCTTTTAGCTTCTGCAAAATCATTTAGGGAACAGACTAACTAAGTTAAGGGTTGGTTGGGGTTGGAGCCCATCTTAAGGGCTGACTATACTCCCCGCAGCAGTGTGTCGCTATGAGCTTGTCTGGGATATTTTTGATTTATGCCCAATTGTGAAGCGTGGTCTGCGCTATGTTATTCCACACCACAACGCAAGAGGGGCAATCATTAACTAGCTGTGGGTCTAGATATGGCCGAGGCGGTGAGGTAGTGGGGGCAAGTTTGTGTGACAACTGAGGGACGTGAGGGCCAAAAAGAGTGGAGATCCAGGTGGAAAAAGGGTCCTAGCGTTCTCGCGCACCTTGCTCTTCTAGTAGGTCCAACTTCAGGAGTCGTTTTTAAAATGGCGCCAAAAAGGAAATACGCATACTGTAGAGTGGTTGTATAATTGACCAAACAGAGGCCTCCTGTCTGCGGTCACCTACAATTTTGGAGAGGTGCACCAGAGTGTCTGAGGAAGGGGCAGGGGCACATTTGTGTTCACTGCAACACACACACAGACAACCTGGTTTCTGAGTATAAATCAGTCTTCAGATGTCATATAGCAACAGACAAGATAGTCTGAGCCAGTCAGGACAGCCAGTGTAGTGTAGTAAACATTTTAGATAGTTAAAAGAGACTTATGGTTTTTAGTATGCACCAAATAGA